TTTGTGGTCGTTTCAAGGATTCGTATGGTTGAAGTCCCAGGAGCTGCGTTCCGGCACGACTGAGGGTTGTCAGGGCGCAACGGTCACGTTGAGTCGTGGTGTGGAAGTCCCAGGAGTGATGTTCTGGCAAAAGTTAGGGTTGTCCGGACGCCGCAGGAGTCACGTTGATTCTTAGTGTTGAAGTCCCAGACCTGGTGTTTGGGCAAGGTTTCGAAGTGTCAGGACTCAACAATCGAGTTGATCGGCGGCGTTGAAGTCCCAGGCACGGTGTTCTTGCATGGTTGAGGATTATCAGAAGTTTGTCTTCTAATGGGCCGCTTCCCGCAATGAAACAACTTCTCGTAGGGACCTACGAAGGGGGAGCATAGAGGCAAGATGTATTGCAACATCGTTGATGCGTCTGGGTTTTTGCATTGGTCCTTCTCCTCCCCCTCCTTCATCTCCTCCCTCCTCCTCTTGTCAACGCTCGAGCCTGCCTGGAGGAGGAGGAGGAGGAGGAGGAAGAGGAGGAGGAGGAGGAGGAGGAGGAGGAGAGGGAGGAAGAGGAGGAGGAGGAGGAGGAGGAGGAGGAGGAGGAGGGGCGACGCAGGCGCGGCAGCAAGCGTGGCTCGTGCCAGCGCGGGCCCTGGCGCGGACGGCCCGGGCCGGGCAGTGCGAGTGTCACCGCGAAGAACTGGGGGCGGCCAAGAGGGGGTGATGCAGGGCTCATTTCGATTCCTCCGGTTCGATTCGACTTCGGATTCCGATGTGGATTCCGATTCCTCAATGGAGGCCTTCTAGCCCGCCGATTTCTGCCTATCCGACTTCTCCCGACGTGGCTGCCGATTTCCGCCAGATCCGATTCATTTCGATCGCCGATCCGACTTGTCGTTTCGATTCTGGACTCTCCTGGTGATGTCTGGGGGGCGGGTGGGCGTCATCACGTTTGGGGCGCAGATCTCTGGTCGGAGCCCCCAGTCTTTCTCTTCCAGCAGTGCGTCCCCTGGTGCCCCCCCTCGTCCCCGCACATGGCTCCGGCCACGATGCGCACCCCTTCCTCTCAGAGGCGCTCCCCACTCTTGGACGCCCCCAGAAGACGACACGGGGGACCTGGAGAGAGCTGGGTCCTCGTGCCGCCCTGCTCTGGCTCCCTGGGGCCCCTCTCCATGTCACGCGACGCCGTCGGAAGGCGACTCGAGACGAAGGGCCGGGCTCGGGGGAGAGAGGCCCAGGGTCCTCCAGCAGTGGCGAAGCGTCCTGGCCCGCCGATAGGCCTACCAGGCAATGTTCTGAGAACCTCTTGTGGTTTCCACGAGATGTTCTTAGAACAGTTCTGGCTTGGACTGTCTTGTTTTAGCACATCGAGTTCATGTTCTGAGAACACTGCTTGGGCTCCTAGAACATTTGTGGGGTTCTAAGAACATTGCGTGGTAGGCTTATAGGAATGCCGGCACGGTCGGTCCCTGCTCAACCAGAAGTCCCGACCCTTTCGGGAGCAACGCGTAAGTCGGGCCAGTCCCTCTACAGGAGGAATATGACCTAACAGTTGAAACGATAGTCAGGGGACGATGTTTGAGCATTTTTCTGACCATTTGGGGTTATTTGGGGGGTATTTTTATTTTTCGTCCAAAATCGGCCTGTAGGGGGACACGCCCGGAGAGGCTCCCGGGTGGGTGCATCGACCCCACGGGCACGGAATCGGTCCCTCCCGCCGTCGAGAAGCAGCCAATTCAAAAACATAAATTGTCGGAGGTCCGCGCTGATCTCTTGGATCGGCGCGTGACCCCCCTCCCTGGCGCGCAGATCGCGCCAGGGGCGGGCCCCAGCGCCGATACAAGAAATCCGAGCGGACCGTCGAACGTTCATGCTTATGTCATTTGCCGTGGGGGGCATGATATCTCCCCAAATTTCATGGCGCCTCTCCTTATTTCAATGCGTCCCCAGCCCCCCCCTGGGCCGCGCACATGCCGCCGGCCATGAGTTGCGCCCACCCTCTTGGACGCCCCCCTCTTGGCCGCCCCCGATAAGATCGAGCTCGGTTCGGGGAGGGTGCCCTAACTTCAAGGGCTCCCAGCTTCGCGCTTCGCGCTGCGCGAAGCGCGAAGCGCGACTAACTTCGCGCTCTCGCGCCGCCTCCCAGGGGGGAAAAGGAGGAGGAGGAGGAGGATGAGGAATCGGAGCCGAACCGCGAAGCGCGAAGCGCGAATAACTTCGCACCCTCGAGGGCGCCCTTGAGTTCTCGCGCACCCTGGGGAGGGCACCCCTGGATGCCCTGTGCGCTCTGGCCGACGGAGGGCCTCCTGTGTTCTGGAGGGGTGCTCTCCCGGCCCAGGTTCGACGGCGTGCCATTGCAGTGTTCGTTCCTCGACTCGCGCTCCCTCCCTCCCTCCCTCCCTCCCTCCCCCCCTCCCTCCCTCCCCTCCCTCCCTCCCTCCCTCCCCCTCCCTTGCACTGTGCCTTCCCTCCCTCCCTCCCTCCCTCCCCCTCGCCCGATCAGGCGGACGAGTGCGCGCTCGGGCCGCCGGCGTGCGAGAAGGTGTGGCGCCTGGCGCGGCTGTTTGCGGAGGACCGCTGGGGCCCCCCGGAGCGCGCGCCCTGCGCGCGCGGCGCGGGCGCGCTCGCCGCCCTTCGCCGTCGTGGTCGTCGTCGTCGTCGTCGTCGTCGTCGTCGTCGGTCGTCGTCGTCGTCGTCGTCGTCGTCGTCGTCGTTGTCGTCATCGTCGTCGTTGTCGTCGTCGTCGTCTCCTCGTCGTCGTCGTGCTGTCGTCGTGGTCTTCGGTTGTCTTCGGTCGTCGTCGGTCGTCGTCTTCGTCGGTCGTCGGCGTCATCGGTCGTCGTCGTCAGCCGTCGTGGGTAGCCGCTAGTCGTCGTTCGTCGTCGCCGTTCGTCGTCGCCGTTCGTCGTCGCCGCCTTCGTGGTCGTCAGTCGTCACGAGTCGCCGCTAACCGCCGCTAGCTGCCGTTCGTCGCCGGCCTCGGCGTCGTCCTCACTCGGGGCTTCTGGAGCGAGGCACTTGGGCCCCCACGGGAGGAGGTTGAAGGGGAGGAGGAAGAGGAGGGCAAGGCACAAGGGGGCAGCTTCCCTACTGCACAGCTCGAGCTGACTACGTCGGGTGCGCATCGGGGGGCGCCCTGAGACCGCACTCGTCTTTCACAAGGACCTGCCTGCAAGCTGGCACCCGCCGGGCGCGCCCACGTTGGAAGGGACCTCTCAAGCTTTCCTCAGGCCCGCGCAGTGTCCATAAGAGCAAGAACGCAGCTGAGCACAGCAGGGCGTGCAGGCAGCTACGGAGCTCGCACATGCAGAAGCAAGGTGCGGACGACGCTGCAAGGCCCTGCTCTTATGGACGCTGCGCAGGCCCGAGGACAGCTTGAGAGGTCACTTCAAATGTGTGGACACCTCGCACGAGCCGAGGACGGACCGCCCCTCGGAGCGTCGTGCCCCGCCCGTGGCCGTGCCCCACCGAGCGGGTGCCGCCGCCCACCGAGGCCGAACGGAGACCGAGCCGCACGCGGGACATGGAGTGGCCAGGCCTTCGGCACTTCGCCACCGCATTGGGATCCAGCTGAATTTGGCGTCGTCGTCGTCGTCGGAGGAGGAGGAGGGGAAGGAGGAGGAGGAGGGGGATGAGGAGGAGGAGGGGGAGGAGGAGGAGGAGGAGGAGGAGGAGGAGGAGGAGGAGGAGGAGGGGAGAAGAGGGGGAGGAGGGGGAGGAGGAGGAGGAGGAGGAGGTGGAGGAGGAGGAGGAGGAGGACGCAGGCGAACAATTCGACAGCATCTGGTGGGCATAGCGATAGAGAAGCTGGCGACCTTCCCGGGCCTGTCCAGGCGATTGGGCGAAGGCTGACGCACTCGTGCGACCTTGTTATCTCACCACCCACCAGACCACCCCAACCCAACCCGAAGGCCCCAATGTGCATTCCTTTCCCAGTGGGTGGGGGGGCGTCGGCGAGCATGCACAAACAAACACATATGGAACCCGCCCCCCCCCCAAAAAAAAATCGAAGTTTGGGTCGTCGGGTTGGGTCGGCGTGGTCTGGCAGGCACTCACGATGTCTGCACTGCAGCGAGGAGGAGGAGGAGCAGGAGCAGGAGCAGGAGGAGGAGGAGGAGGAGGAGGAGGAGGAGGAGGAGTCCAGAGGGTCCAGGATCTGGAATTTTGCGTGCTCCTGGCCCGTGCGGGGCCCCCTGGAGGCTCAGAGGCCTCGCGGGATCTCCGGTCTGCAGGGTCTCGGGAATTTTGGAGACGTTGGGGCATTAGAGAATCGCCACGTTCAATGTGTTCGTCGCCGTGGTAATCATTATCGTCTTGGGCGTCATCAGTTTCATCATCATCAGCATCATCAGCAACAGCAGCATCAGCACCAGCATCGACATCATCATCAGCAGCAGCATCATCCGCATCATCACAAACATCATCATCACCCTTCTCATTCTCATCATCACCATCAGTATCATCGTCATCATCATCGTCGTCAGCATCAGTATCATGCTCAGCAACAGCAGCATCCTCGTCATCACCATCACCAGCATCATCAGCATTACCATCATCACAGTCAGCATCACCATTATAATGCATCATCATCGTCATCGTCATCACAATCCTCATCACCACCATCATCATCACCATGACCACCATCAAACTGATCATCCTCATCATCATCTCCATCAACATCATCAGCATCATCACCATAAATACCACCACCAGCATCATCATTTGCATAATATTCATCTGTGTCATCAGCACCATCATCATCACCATCATCATCAGCATCATGATCATCATCATCATCATCAGCATCCTCGTCGTAATCATCATCACCATCACCACCATCATCATCAGGCCTAGGGGATCTGACTGCGTTTTGTCGGTCGCCGCCTCCTCACAACAGCAGTTTGCGTAGATAGGTCAGATTCGTCTTCGTTGTGGCCAATGGCATATTCATCGCTGTTGCCGTCATAATCGCCAGTGCCATCACCATCGCCGCCGCCAAAGATTATGGTCGTCTTCGTCGCAATCTGGGCCCAAGGTGGCATGGCAGGTCTGAACATTTGGGTGCGGAAGCAATTGAGCCAATCGCGTGGACCAAACAATCACCATAAACAGGTCGCAGTCGATTCGAAGTTCTTGTCTCGAGGCTTCGCAGAAGTTATTAGCGTCTGTAAGGTGCCCTTGACTGCAACTCTAGGAGCAGGTGAAGTCGGAGTCATGCTGCAGCAAGGGGGGGATCACGATGCAGAGGACGTAGATGGGCTTGACTGTCGAAAGCACAGCACGATTGGCTTTAGGGGGAAGGCCTGCGACGTCGCACAGGACTGCAGAGATGTGTGCCTCATAGTGGTTGGGTGCGGGCGTGACGCGAGGGAACTTGCCCGTCGTCGTTGCGCTGCGCATGGCAGGCCAGGGGTCTACCAAAATGATGTGTGGGGCAACCTCGTGGATCGTTTTCACGTTGCTCTCGTTCAGGGGACCCTTGGGAACCAATCGTGATTTCAGAGGTGCACAATCGAACGCTGCTTTGGGCAATCGCCCAGACCTCTTCCGCCTTGAAGCGAAAACGCAAACAGCGAAACGTTGTTTTGGTCGATCCCTGCGTGAGGTTGTTAGTACTTTGGACAGGGACGCCTCCCGCTGGCAGTTACCAACCATCCAAATTCACGTGGTGTCCACCGCCAACTTCTTTGTCCGAGCCGTGGACCCCTCGCATCGTCTCCTGCACGCCGCGAGCTGACATATTGCGAGAGGTCGTCTATGACTGCGCTGGGGGAAGGCCGCGAAAATGGTGCAAACGTGGAGCTGACGTTGTGCTTTTAGATGAAACTCACACCTACCAGATTGCCGAAGCCAACTGCGAGAATTCGCTTAGTGGGCTTCGTGTACTCCAGGGGGGCAAGGTGATCTGGGAGATCACAGGTTGTGTAACGATTGTCGGTCCTGGCTGCGATGTTGAGCGCGTTCCTGTAGGAGTACAGAACCAATGTGCAATGCCAATCCCACTGCACACGAACACGGGCATCGTATGCTGGACGTTGTATTTTGCCATAGTTTTTATCCTTGCCCTGCATGTGGAGTCCAGCGATTTCAATACTTACAGGGGGCTTCCTTTCTGGAGATCGCCCTTATGGGTTGGCTATGGACCTTTTGGTTACCACTATGTGAACGATATGGTTTCGCCATCTGCCTGCGGCCGCTATGTTGGTCGGACGTGCCGTGTGCTGGCCGCTGTTCTGTGGGTCGTGCTGGGTGCGACGCTGGCCACGCTGCCAGCTCGTCCCGATCGTTTCCTCACGTATTTCTGGGTAGCTGGCATCGGTACCGGCTTATACTGTGCAATTGGTGTTCCAGTACATCTCGTGTTGGTGGGAAGATCACCAGCTTATTGGAGATGGACGTGTGTATCGAAGACGTCCACGGCGAATCACCGCCACCCCCTGCCTCCTGGACAGCCCGTGCGATGAATGGTTGAGTCGAGCGACGGTGCGGCCATGCTAGTGGACTGCGTGTTCCCCCGCGCTTGGGGCAACCACTGGGGGAACACTGGGGATGAGGGCCCTCTACGGTTATCTTGGGGCTCTCTCTCGGGGTTTCCTTCGTGTCATGTGGACCACCTCGAGGGCCTCTTGGGCTCTCTGGGGCCGTCTTTGCGCTGTCTGTCTCGGCGCCTCCTCGAGGCCACATTTCGGCCGTCTTGGGACCTCTGGAGCTTCTCGGGCCCTCTCGGGGCGATCGGGGGCCTCTCTTGGGCCGCCTGGGGCTCCCGTGGCCCGAAACGGCGAGAGGCGCGGCAGCAGTGGAAAAAAACCCAAGGGCACGAACTCTCGGCGCTTCGCGTGGCCCCGCAAGTCTTGCTCCTGTGCGTTCTCGTGCGGAATTTGGCCCGCTGCTCGTGAGCCGCGTCTCCTGACGGCGCCTGGCTTTCTCCTGCGCGCTCGCGAGCAAGAAAGTGGCCCGGCGTGCCCGCCCAGGAGGAATCGCCAGGCGAGCCGCCCCGAGCGGGGGCGTGCAGCAGCATGCCGTCACCTGGGGCCTCCCGGGGGCATCGTGGGGCCCCCGTGGGGCCATTTGGTCTACAGCCAAGACGCTGAAGTGAGGAACCGCTCGGGTTGGGAAGGGGCTGGACGTTCCTTACATGTAGCAGGTCCTTCCATGGCTGTTTCTCTAGCGTTCCTCGTCCACGCAGGCGGGTTTGGGGTCAAATGAAGGGCTTCGTTCCTTATTTGGCGTTCCTTCTTTCAGCGGCCCGACTGTAGGCCTCCTAGGTGGGGTCGGAGCAGACGGGGTCGGAGGATCGCTCCGTCGCCGATGCATCGCCGATGCGGCTCGATGCGGAGCCCGGTTTGCTTCGCGTCGACGTCGCCGATGCATTGCCCGCGTCGACGGTGCATCGCCGGTGCATCCCCGATGCATCGCCGATGCATCGGCGATGCGGCGCGATCCTCCGACCCCATCTACTCCGACCCCGTCTAGGAGGCCTCTATTTGGGAGGCCTCCCGGGCTAGCTTGGGGCCCTCTTTGGGCTCTCTCGGGGCAGCCTCCGAGGCCATGGGGACCCTCTTGGGGCCATCTTGGAAGCAATCGATTCGACAAGGGGGCGGCGCTCATTAGCGTCCCCCTTCGGAGGCCGAGTAATCGCCTCTTGGGGCCCTCCTGGGCCGCTCTTGAGATACTCTCGGACGCTCTTGGGGCCGTGTTGGGCCCCATCGCGGGGACGTCTCGGGCCATCTTGGGGCCGCCCTGACGCCTGAATTGCCCATCGGAAGTGACAAGGCGAGAAGGCAACAACATATGGGCTTCCTGGGGGCCTTCTAGGGAGGCTCAGAGAACACTGGGAGCCGCCCTGGGGCGGTATTGAGTGCTTCGGGAGGCTTGGTGGACGCTATCTATCTTGGGCTATTTTGAGTGAGTGATCTTGGAGGCCATCTTGGGCTCTCTGGGGCCCTCTTGGAGCCACCTGGGACCATCTTGGGCGCCCCAACCCCTCGCTGTTCCCCCCGTCCAGAGTCCAGAGCCAGGGGGAGGGGGGGGAGGGGGAACCATCTCCCCGAAAAGGAAGAAGGGGGTAAGCAGAACGCGCTCCATAAACCACTAACGACCAGAGGGGCCTCTTTAGCCATCTTGGGCCGCCCTGGGGCAATCTTGGGTCCTCTTGGAGACATAGTGACGCCATCTTGAGCCCTCTTGGGGCCATCTTGTAGGCCATATTTTGTGGGAAAGTCACAGGGTCCTACCTTTGATGGCCGCCTCTGAGTAGCCAGCGGGCACCGGCGAAGGCCACTGGACATTTTCCGGGAGGGCTAACACGAGCTATTGGTTCGACACGCCGCAAGGAGCCTCGCGGCAAGTACAGGCGGGCGGCGGATCGAAGACGCTTGCGGCGAGTCACTCCCGCCGCCTGCTTTTCCAGAAACGCCCATGTGGTCAAACGTTGCGTGGCGAAGCTATTGGACTATGCGTTTCTCCAGCCGTTGTGGAAATGCTGAGGGGGAACACTTGGGGAAGGAAGGGGGGAGGAGGAGGACAAGAAGGAGGATGAGGATGAGGATGAGGATGAGGATGAGGCCTCTTGGGGGCCCTCTCGGGGGCCTGCCTGCTGGGGGTCAGCCGTCTTGGGCCTATCTGCGGCCGTCCTGTAGCCATCTTAGGTCGACTATGGGCCATCGTGGCTTTCTTTGAGAGTATCGTGGGCCCTCTTGGAGGCCACGCAGGGAATCTTAGTCGACGTGGAGGCCGCCTTGGCTATCTGCGTGCCGATCTTGGGCAGTCTTGGAGGCTATCTTTGACATCTTGGGGCCGTCGTGGGATCCTTTTGGGCCGCCTTGTGGCGATCTTTGAGGCTTCGGGGGCCGCCCTTGGGGCCATGTTGAGCCTTCTCGGGCCGCCTTGGGGCCATCTTGGCCGTCTTGGAGGCCATCTTCGACCGTCTTGGAGACCATATAGGTAATTCCTGGCCGCCTTGGAGACGTATGGGGACCGCCTTGGAGGCCATCTTGGACGAACAAAAACACTGGGAGACGCAGCTGGCGGCTTGAGCATGAGCCTTTGGAATTGTTTGGTAGGGCCAGCAAGAGCCAGGAAGTCCGGCTCGCCAAGCGCCCTTCGGGCAAGCTGCGGGGCGGCGGATCGAGTGGCCTTCGGCCTATCCCGCTGCTGTGCTCAGGTCATTTGCCAGAGGCTTCTGACATCTTCGGGTCACTTGGGAAACCTCCTGGGGGCCTCCTGAAGGCTTCTAGGAGGCGTCTCGGGGGTCTCTTGGAGACCTGCTGGGGCCTCCTGGGGGCCTGGCGGCCTGAAGGTGGTCTAGGGGCTCATCTTGGAGCCAACAGTTCCTCATCTCAGCTTCTTTCCCCTCGGGGCCGTCTTAGGGGCCTCACGGGGACCCTCGTTGCGGGCGTCTTGTGGTGATCTCAGGGGCCTCTTCGGCCGTCTTGGGCGCTCTCAAAAACCCAAACCCGAATATCATGAATTCAAACGTGTGCACACATCACGTACACATCTATACACATATATATATATATAGGAGTAGGCAGGGGGGGGTGCGGGCCGGGCAGGAAGGGGGGGGGCGGGCCGCTGCCTGTACCCTCCATGGGCGCCCCCCGAGGGTGTCTGAGGGGGTCCCATAGCTCCCGAGACGGCCCTGGCCCGCCCTGAAACAGGCCACGACAGGCTAAGGGGGTACCAACAGGGCCCAAGACGGTCTCACGAGGCTCCGAAGACGCCCAAGATGCCCTCTAGACGGCCGACGAGGACTCCAACGCGCTCCAAGACGGACTCAAGAGGCTCCCCAAGAGGGCCCTGGGATGCAATATTCATTAAGTGTCCGATGGTTTTTGAAGGATCTTGGCGTTCTCGCTTTTCCCTCTTCCCAGCGCTCCCTCACGGCCTCGGAGGCCCTTCAGATCGCTCTAAGACGGTCCACGAGGCCCTGAAGAGGGCACCAGGAGGCTCCCCAGACAACCCAAGTGTGCCCCAAAAGCGCCGCAAGAGGGGGCCCAGAAGGGGGCCGCGGACCAATATTTTGAAATCTTTGGTCATAGAGGCCTCCAGTAGGCTCCCGGAGGCCACCAAGAGGCTCCCACGAAGCCCCGTGAGGCCCCCAAGAGCCCCCAAGGGGCCCCCAGGGAACGCCCAAGAGCCCCCCAACACACCCCAACAAATCATGTCCCCAGAAAGCCTTCCGGGGACATGGTTCATCGCCCGAGAGTCTCCGGAGGCTCCGAAGCACCATCGCGTTACCGGAGAGCTGTCTGGGAAGTTGACTGGGAACATGATTGATCGCCTTCTCTCGGCCCTCCGCGGGTCGTTTCGCACACAGTTGCCCCAAGTGCCCTCTTGAACCAAAGATGACGGCGACGACGACGACGACGACGACGACGAAACGACCAAGACGAGGACGACGACGACGACGACGACGACGACGACGACGACGACGACGACGACGACGACGACGGCGCGCTCCAAGAGGCGACGACGATATTACGACGACGACGACGGCACGCCCCGACAGGCTCCCCCAGACGCACCCAAAACCCATGTTCCCAGAAGGCCTCCTGGGAACCCGATTCATCAGGCCTCCGCCCCCCTACGCAACCATCTTCCCCGAAAGCCTTCAGGAATGCGGATTGACATGCATGGACTTCTCACTGCCCATAATGCTTTCAGCGTTATGGGCACTTCTTCACTTCTCGTTCAAACCATCTGTGGTCCACTACTTCAGTGGAGCAATGCACTCGTCAAGACCTGGAGCCTGCTAGAGCGCACGATGGCTCTATATACATCTGTATATATATGCATATGTGAGAGAGAATGCAGTGGAGCGGAGTCCCCCACCGGGAAATCGGTTTCGGTTTCGTGCTCGTGTCGTGCGTGCGGGCGAGGCGAAGCTGCGCGGGCGCTCGAAAGGAATATCCCGCCGTCGCCAGGTGCGGCCCTCCGGTGGGCGTGCGGTGGCCGGGGGTGTCTCGCCGTGGTGTCCCGCGGTGTCCCGACGGTGTCCCGCGGTGTCTCGCCGTGGTGTCCCGATGGTGTCTCGTGGTGTCCTGTGGTGTCCCGTGGTGTCTTGCGGTGTCCTGGTGGTGTCCCGCGGTGCCCCTTGGTGTCCAGTGGTGTCCCGCCGTGGTGTCCCGATGGTGTCCTGATTTTTAATTATTCTATCCTGGGCCTCTTGCTGGCCACTGGGGGGCCAGGAACAATTAGAAACGAGCACAATTAGAAATGAGCACGATTGGAAATGAACGACGTGCATGTGCGTATGCATATAAGATATGTATATTAGATGCCTTTTAGTATGTTTGGCCTCTTGGGCTTGCCGCCAGGGCCACTGAGACTGCCCAGGAGGCCCCCAAAGATAGTCACGGGACGGCCGCTGGGGGCCACCGAGAATCCCCGCGCCCTTGCGAGCGACGCAGGGGAACCTGTTGGGATTGTCGGAGTCGGTACGGGCGGGCTCGGCTTCTGGGTGGGCCGCGCGCGCCGGGAGCACCTGAAATCAGTATCGTTTAACCGATCCCCATCCCCATCCCCATCCCCTTCGAGACCCCCCCCCAGTCCCCCCCCCAGTTGGGGATACACCCCTCGAAACCCGAAGGATACGGCCTATACCCCCATCTAGGGGGGTAAACCGGCCAGTGGGGATAGACTTCCTACCCTGACACGTCGATTAAGGAATTGGACGTTTTCGGTTCGCGAGTGGGCGTCGCGGCCGTCATTTTTGCGGGTCCAGGTCCGCCAGTTTCGGTCCCCGGGCCGTTTTCACGAAGGGAAGGTTTATTAAAGGGAGGTTTGTCCACCGCCGATTGGGGGTGTCGGAATCGGTATGGGCGGGCTTGGCTTCTGGGTGGGCCACGCCGGGAACACCTGGAAGAGCCCAGGTGAAAGCCAGCAAACTCTGCGGTATGAGTTTGTCCGGTGTGCTGAGCCTTGGGGCCCTCCTCCACTGCGTGCGGAAGGCACGGTGGCGGATTTGTGTTGTGCACATTGGGGTCATGGTTTATACTCTATGGTTTGTGCGCTGTGTTCGTTGCCCTCGGCCGCAACTTTCCGGCCGTAGCTGCCATTTTGATGCCCATCGCCGTGTCTTCAACGGAAGGTCTGACTGTGGTGGTGCTCGCTTACGGGTATCACCACTACGCTTACAAGGCGAACGCCTCGGGTGATCAATACACAGTTCTCACCTGCGCATTATCACTGATACACGCGTTCTCTGAAGGGGCACGCTTAGCAGTCGTCATCATGAGTGCTGTTCGGACGAACACGTACATGTGGGTATTGTCAACTATCTGTTCTTTATTGTTGAATTTGGCAACTCGCATGGGATGGACAAGACTTGCTGTCATGCGGCTGCTGCATCTTGTCAAGTCCGGGTCATGGCATATCCTTCGCCCAAGTATGTGCACCCGAGTACATTCGCAAGCAAAATTTCAGTTGGGTTATGTACGTTTCACTGCACCACTCGCAATCGGATTCGTGCGTGGCATTCTCAAAGGGCGATCTCCTTTATCCAACTCTTCAGCAGTCTTGGCGGTGGGTTGCGTTTTCATGTTTGAGTTCGTAGAAGACCTCATTGTTTGGAATGAGTGGCTTCCATATGCTAAGCCATGCGATCATCTCCCTGAATATTTTACATGGTATCGTAACATTGGTCGCTTCGATCCGCACCAAAGCTACACCATCACTTCAAAGCCACACTCCGCAACGTCATTCGATGATCCCCAGGCCAGCAGTCTCTCAGTTGAGCCCGCTCCTGAGGAGGTGGTGAGTCGTCCATTGCCGCTTCATGGAGCACGCCGCCTGAGCTTCACGATGCATGTCATCGCCGTGGCGCCCGCAGCCCTGTTTATTCTCTGCGCTCTGCAGCTGTTTCTCGGAGCTGGCTATGTCAGTGGGCGTTGCGAGAACCCTCTTGACGATATATTGTCCCAAGCCTTTCTAGTGGCCATGCATGCGCCGTGCTAATAAGTCCGCGCTATTCTTGTTTTCAGGTAGGGGTCGCCAACGTCTCCGTCTTCGTCGCGTCTTTGCGGGCATCACTTTCATCCTTGGCACTTCCTTGCCCCTGCTCGGCCGACGAGGAACATAAGGCACAACACACACAAGCTTTTGGAGGTCCGCCGCGACGTAACGATGCATTAGTTCTCTCCCTGTCGTCCCTTCCTCCTCGCCCACCTTGTCCTCTTTCTCCTTGCTAGGCGCCTTGAGGAGAACACAGGTTGGCGCGGGCATGCCCGTGGAGGGTCCGGCTGTACCCTGTAGCACGCCAAAGCCGGCTTGGGTTGTCTTGCCCGCCTGTATTGTCCATTTGTTTCTTTGTTGGGCGCCTTTGCAGAGTGTCACCTTCAGTGCGTTTCACACTACACTGATCAATTGTCCTGTCCAGCGCACTGCCGGGGAGGAGGACCCGCGGACCCGCGCCACCTCCCTGCGGCCGCTGTTCTCTGTTCTGTGTTCTCATCGTCGGATATCTGAGCCATGAAATCGCATTGCAAATAAGAAGAATACCGGTTTCTTCAATGCTGTCCTCGACTTATTGAGAGCAAGTGCGTTCGGAGTCCGAGCGAAGATGCGCACTATGGAAACCATGTGTAGACCGCAGTGAAACGGAGACCCCCCACCGGGAAGTCGTTTTCGGTTTCGTGTCGTGCGTGCGGGCGAGGCGAAGCTTCGCGTGATCTTCCTGTAGCTAGACCGAAGTAGGAGCGAAAGTCCGTTCCCGTCCGCTGGTGGCTGGGAGGTGTTCCAGTTGGGCCGGGCGGTGTCCCTGGTGTCAGTAGGAGCGAAAGTCCGTTTTCCGTCCGCTGGTGGCCGGGAGGTGTCCCATTTGGGCCGGGCGGTGTCCCGGGTGTCCCGGGCGTCCCGGCGCTAACGCATGTCGCTAATTTCATCAATAATTTGTTTCGGCGCCTGCGGCGGGCTTTCTTATCCAATCCAGCTTATTTTTTACAATCCATCTTGTCCAATCCAATCCTTCTTATCTGATCCAACCCAACTTGTGGCAAATATTATATTATGCAACACATCTTATCTTGTGGTACATCTTATATGATCTTTTCCAACCCATCTTATCTCATCTTACGAAAGAGAGAGAGAGAGAGAGAGAAAGAGAGAGAGAGAGACGCAGAGAGTGAGAGAGAGAGACTGAGAGAAAGAGAGATATGAGAGCAAGGTGACAGGCTGGAGGTCAGTCAGGGTGGGCATGTGATCTCAATCCCCCCCAACCTCCTTATCGCCCGCAGGGCGGTCGTAAAGGTATACTGTATGTGCAGCTCATGGTACACAATCGCTGGGCCTTTTCTGCCTCAGCGTCGTCTTCAGGCAACTTCTGGAGAGCAAACGGCGATGGCAGGCTCCAACGCATGATGTTGATGAACGCTCAGTTGGACGAATTCACCAAATCTGTCGTAACACATTGGCGGCTTTATCATCTCCCCGACTCATGCCTGGACACCCCCCCCAGCCAGATTTATTGTTGTTCCTTCTGCGGGGGGTCTTCCTTCGTGTTCGACCTGTTAAACCGTGGACCCCTGGCTGCCGGTCCTTCTTCTGCTCGCGCCTTGCCATTGGAACCCTTGAACAAGCTGTTCCTATTTCTAGAGTTCCTATTTTTAGAGTGTTGCTGCAGTGCAGTTGCAATCGGGTCTTTCGCGCATTTCTTCATCTGGTTGCTCCAGGGGTGAGTGGAACCCTGCGCGCGAGCACCTTCCTGGCTCAGAGCTCTTTTTCTTCCGAAACTTGAGGCGGGGGTAACCCCGTGCACGAACCCCTCGCCAGGGATATGCTTTCCCTTCCGCGGAAACCTGGCCTCTTTGCTTCGTCGGCGCGCCCCAGAGGTCATTTCCTTCCGTATGGAGCCTTATGGGTCCTACGTCTGAGTCGGCCGGGTGGTGCGGTTGCGAGATTCAATGGCAGTTTCAGATTTAGCTTTAGCTTCAGTTACCAGTCTTAGATGCAGGTTCAGCTTCACATATGTATGTCAGTTGCAGCAGCAGCTTGGTAGTTTGATCTTAGTTCAAGTTTTGTAGTTAGATTTGTGTGTTAGTGCTAGCTTTATCTTTTCGATGTGGTCTTATAGCTCGCGTCGCATGTTTCGTTTAGCTTTAGTTTTAGTGTTAGCTTTAGACTTACACTTTAGCGCCTCATCGTACCAGGGTGCAGGAGGCTGATAAGCACCCAGCATCGTGCACACATCTTTGTGCACCTTTTTTAGATCTGGCACCACTAACGCAGGACCGTGGCCCTTCCGCCGCGTCTTTACTCGCAGTGGCAAACTTCGGGTGAGCAAGCTGCCGTTTCGTGGTCGCTTCCGTTTCCCAGCAGACATATCGTGGGATTCGGATCACTTATGGTCCTTCGTCTGTGGTGTGCACGGGAGGTTGTGCCATGCTGCGCCAATCAGCAGTCCGCAGGTTCTCTCGTCACAGCTACAGTCAACCCGCATAGTAGGGAAGGGTAACTTCCTCAAGGGTACCCTTGCATCCTTGCCTCCTCGGTCCATCCTTGGCCACTTTCGTTGGCCGCGCCCCGCTCGAAAAGTATCGACATGGCCTTCCAAGGCCCTTGCATCCTTATTGTACGGGTTGATACTCTTAAACAGTTCAGGTCTGGCAAACGCAAACAATTGTTTAGATGTTTTCCTCAAGTTTTCGATTCAGCCTTCGCTTGCTTCAGCGCTGCAATTACGTGTCACATCTGACGCTCACCGCAGTTATGCCCAGTGGATGCCCGCAGTTTGGGGCCATCTTGCTTGCTGTCGCTTCTGGGATGGGTTCCCTCGAGCGCCAAGCGTCGCAAGAGTTTCCTAGAGTTAATTCGGGGTGGGCTCCCTAGTGCGGCACGCTGGAGATGTACTGCTAAGGCCTTACGGCCGGTGCCGCCGACCCTGGACGACGACTCCGACGATGAAAGAGGCAGTCGGGAAGGTCGGCAGCAAACGTTTCTAAGAGTGCCCAAAAGGCTACACGAGGCCCCCAAGAGGTGCTCAAGAACCCCCACGAGGTTGTTTGGGGGTCTATGGAGCCTTTTGGGAGCCTCCTGGGGCTTCCTGGTGGTTCCTTTGGGGCGCCTGGGAGGGGGCCTCGTGGGGGCGTCTGGGGGGCTTCTCGGGCCCCGGGACCCCCTGGGTGCATTGACCCCCCCCCGACCCCCCCCCAGCCCAGCAGCGATCTACTCCCAAGTTGGATGGGTTATTCCCCAGTGAGACAGGCAATTTCACGGATGACCGGGGAAGACACTTTTGGAATGCAAGTTCCAGAAAATGTTACGCAATTTATTTATTTTGCAAGCTGTCTTTAGAAGGTTTGGAGTGCGGCAAACTTTCTAAAGACAGCCATATGGTCTTTGGGGAAAGCAATCGGGGAACAACCCATCCGCAGCAATGACATTCTGAGTGGGCGCTGGTTTGCTCTGTGCGTGCTCGCCTGTGCGCGTGCATGAAGATTGCTCTGCACGATGAGTTAATTTAAGATGATGGTACGTCGTGCTATCCACCCGTACCCGTCCTTCGCGATAGTGACGACCCTTGGCCGCGCGAGCAAACATGTCGTGCTCTGTGTGTGCGCGTGCCCGTGCGCGCGAAAGCCGTAATGCGCCGCAAAGGATATTGCATTGGTTACCTGGAGAATTATTTTCTTATGGATCATATGTTCATTTGTGATGGAACAGTCGTAGTAGCATTTGATGCACATACATTTTTCGTATGAGACACATGCGTCTCTCACCTGGACCGCATACGTTGCGCAAACGACCTTCTCATGTGTCTCATATGGACACCTGGCGCGTTTCTTAGCTCTGAACTCCAAGTTCCGCAGAGGGAACCTGTACGCTTCACTGCTGCAGACCATGCGCGCTAATCATGAAACAACCAGGCGCCTCCCACATGCTCACGTCGGACCAATAGCGGAAAGTTTGGAGGCCAATTTTTATGTTTGGATTTTCTTCCTGATAATCGTAGATCGGCGGTTGGAGAGGGCCCGCTTTGCCCCCCCCAGATTTGGCGCGATCTCCACTTTGTGTTCAACTTGTAACGCGCTTCCGGGCCGAAGTCGGGCCACCGCCGCGTTGCGTCGCCCAGCCCATGGATATGCGCGATGTCCACATGTGTTGTTCCATCGCCACAACTGAAAAGTTTTGTCCTCCCCCAGAGGGGCGTAGGGTGGGCCAAGGGCGATGGCGGGAAAGAGGAAGGGAGCTGTTTGTCTCCTCCCTCCCCTCCCAGGGCATCCCGCCGTTCCCACGCTCGATTCCCCCCTGTCCTTGTCGTTGCGCGCGCAGGGGGCGCCGCCCCATCTTGCCCGCGAGCCCGCGAACCGCCCGCCTGGAAGGGGCCCTCGCGTGGGCCCAGTCCGCGGTTACATATATTGTTGCCGGGCAACTTCCCTTCGTAGCACCCCCGACGCCCCGCTCCTTGGGAGGCGCGGCGACCGACGGGCGTGGCAGCCGTTTTCCAATATTGGGGTACCCAGTTCCGTATTCCTTCCCAGAACCCACGATGCAAAGTGACAGGATTGTTGCCTGGATTTTGCGCGAGCGTGCTCGGATGTTCCGACGGACTGATCCTTGATCATCCTCGTTCGTTTGATCGTTGGGTGGCGGCCGTGACGCCTCGCGTCGGTCCTCCTTCCGTCGTCCTTCTTCTCATCCTGTTTTTCGGGCTCCTTTTGGCTTTCGTTCGTCTCGGCGAGCGCCCTGTCAGCGTCGCCCAGGGGAAACCGCTCGCCCGTTGCACGAGCGCCCCAAACCGCGACGATCCTGCCCCCTCACTCTTCGCCGGGCGCTCGTTTCGACGCGCCCCCGCCCTTTCGGCGCGACCGCCGGCGTCCAGAGTCAAGCGGGGGGAGCCCCCAGGGGCCTCCCTCACCAGTCGGCGGGGTAATTCTTTGTCTTCTCTGGAACATCGCCCCTCGTTCCCCCGACGTTTGCGCGGGGAGGCGTGGGCATTTACGGAAATCTTTTAGAATTCCCCGAGGGAGCCTTTGGGAAACCCAGGTGTCCCGAAGGACAGTGTGAGGGGACCCTGAGGAAACCCAACAGCCCAGGTGTCTCTACGACGCGGTCCCCTTTCCAGCCTCCTTTTGCCCTCCCGACCCTACCCGCACCCTTCCACCTGCTCCTGCCTGGCCCCGCCCCCCCCCATCAACCACTTTCCCCCCTCCGCGGGCCCTCGTCCCTCCTTCCTTCACCCTCGTTCTCCCTGCTCCCATTTTCCTGCCCCCCTCCTTCTTCCTCTTATCTTCCACCTCCCTTGTTCCTCCTCCCTTCCCTCGCTTCGCTCCCCCGCGCCCCCATCGCCCCCCCCCCCCTTCACCCTTTTCCCCCGCCCTGCCCCCCCCTCCGCCCTCCCCAGTCCTCTTCCGCGCCATGCGTTCGCCTTCCCTCTCCCCCCCACATCCGTTCCCCGCCCTCCGCCTTCCCTCACCCTCCGCCCTCACCCATTATCCCTCGCCCTGTCCTCCCTCATCTCACTTGCCCTGCCTCCTCCCGCCCACCCCGCCCCCCACCCTTCCTCACCTTCCGTCCGCTCTTCCACCCTCGTTCATATTCCCTCATTCCCCTCTCTCACCTTCCACCCTTACCCTCGACTCCCCCTTGCGCTCCCTCGCCCTCCACCTCCTCCCTCGGTTTCCACCCGCCCTCCCCCTCCACCCTCCCGCCCCTCCCCCACGGGGGACCCCGCAAGCGCCCCAGGGGACGGCCGCCAATTTCTCAACCAATTTTCATATGACGGGATTCCTGCTTAAAACAAAATTGGAGGAAAAATTGGCGATGGAATCCGAAATGGTTTTTGGCAGAATGTTTGGCGGAATTTTTGGCGGGAGGTTTTTTCGAGTGTCCCGGGCGCAGTTTTTGGATGGCCGCGGGGGGGGGGGCCCGGCGGCGTTTTTGGATGGCCCCGATGGTGGCCCGACGGGTGGTTTCTGGATGGCCCCAGGGGGTCCCGACGGTGTTCCAGATTCTAGGCTGCTGTCCTCGCATGGCGCAAGCTATGCGGTGCAAGCTACATGTTGCAAACTATGTGGTGTAAGCTATGCGAGGGAAGCCACGTGGTGCAAACTATATTGTGTTATCTATGTGGCGCAAGCTGCGCGGTGCAATTTATGCGTCCGAAGCGATGTGGTGCAGGCTACGTGGTGTGAGTTCTGTGGCGCAAGCTATATGGTGCAAACTATGGGTTGCACGCGATGTGGCGCAAGCCATGTGGATGCAAGCTGTGCGGCGTAACCTATGTGGTGCAATCTATGTGGTGCGAGTTTTGTTGCGCAAGCTATGTGGCGCACGCTATGCGCTGAAAGCCGCGGCTGGCGTTGTCAAGTAAACGCCCTGTCGGGATTGGAGCGGGCGTTGTCAAGTAGGCCGTCTGTCGGGACCGGAGCGGGCGTTGCCAAGTAGGCGCCCTGTCGGGACCAGAGCGGGCGTTGTCAAGTAGGCGCCCTGTCGGGACCTGAGCGGGCGTTGTCAAGGATGCGCCCTGTCGGGAGCGGAGCGGGCGTTGTCAAGGAAGCGCCCTGTCGGGAGCGGAGCGGGCGTTGTCAAGGAAACGACCAGTCGGGACCGGAGCGGGCGTTGTCAAGTAGGGGCCATGTCGGGACCGGGGCGGGCGTTGTCAAGTAGGGGCCATGTCGGGAGCGGGGCGAGCGTTGTCAAGTAGGCGCCCTGTCGGGACCGGAGCGGGCGTTGTCAAGTAGGGGCCATGTCGGGACCGGAGCGGGCGTTGTCAAGTAGGCGCCCTGTCGGGACTGCGACCCCCCGCTTGCATGTTTCCTCCCTCCTTTCGTTCTTCCCACCTCCCTCCATTCACCTCCCTCGTCGTCCGCGTCCCCTTGCCCCCTCCCTCATTCTCCCCCGCTCCCTCCCTCGCCCCCCATGTTTTGCCTTCGCTGTCCTCGTTCCCTCCTCTCCGTGTGCTCTCGCTCCTCCTTGCCCGCTTCCCTTTTGCCCTTTTCCCCCTCCTTGCTCTCTACACCCTTGAGCCCTTGCTCACTTCCTGTCACCCCCCCTCCCTCTATCGCCCGCTCCCCCTGTCGCCGGGCGACCCTCAGCACGCCTATTTGCAACGTTGGTTCCAAGCCCTGCTCGCGCCTTCGCCAAGCCTCTGGGCAACGAGCCCAGCGCTGGTGCGGGCACTGCGCTGTGTGTTTGCGGGGTGCGCCCCGTCAGTGGTAGCGGGGCCAAGTGCGACGCTGCGTCGCAAGCGTTTCTTCGACGACGCCCAAGATCGTCTGAATTTCGCCGTTGCGCCAATATTGCTCGTGTTCCCCCCCGTCGGTTGTGGAGCGATTCGTTCAGCCGCGCTCTTTTGCACGCGCGCGCGCCTCGCCAGCGCCGCGCCCTTGCGTCGGCGGCCCAGCGTTCGCGGGTTTTCCGCGCTGCCGCGCGCGTGCTAAAGTATTGGATGGAAGGGCGTCGCACGCGTGGAGTTGTTTGCTCGCGACGCCACCGCCAGTGCAAATGTCCCGTTGCCAGCTTCTGCGTGCTTGTTTTTCGTTTTGGGCAAACGGCGGCGCCGCGGGTTCGTGGCGAGTTTCAATTGCGCGTATCTGCGCAAAGCGGCCTTCGCGCAAAGGGCGCCGCGCTGAAGGCCAAAGGGTCGGGCGACCCTTCGAACGACGAAACAATTGGATGAACGCGTTCTGCATGCCGGTCAGAGGTGACACATGCAAGCCACGCGCTTCACATGTGAATATTACGCGGACAAACCCACCATCACGACCACCAGCAGGACCATCACCGCGACCACCAACACGACCAACGCCAGGACGCGCCAGGACGGCCAGGAACACGACCAGTAGCGCGAGGCACCGACGCGACCGCCTGCAAATGCATTCGCACGACCACCAGCACGAGCCAGATCGG